AAATAACATAAAAAGATAGTTTATCTATCTGCACAAAGTTTTTTGAATCCGTATCATAGTAAAACCATGTAGTGAACGGTAAAAAAAAGTCTTAAATCAAAAAAGAAATTTAACAGTAATAATGCTGTTTTTCTTTTTGCTTTTGCAACGACTTCCATGGTGTTAGAGAGGATTTGAGAGGTTGTGAGTAGATCTGAGGTTGCAGAGGATTTGATTTGAACTGAAAAGATGTGAACAGAGGAATGAGAGACTTAGGTATTCTTAAGGACAAAATAGAAAATTCATATTTATGTCCACGTAGAATCTATTCATGCCGCTGTGTTGCAATTTTGGAGCTCTTTGTCTCCATGTCAGTTGCCATGTGTCAAAAAAATAAGGTCCACAATTACGTTTTTTTGTTAGCCTGCTTAATCGTAAATTTTTAAAAATTTAAGTACTCAATTAATAATATTTTCCATTTGGACACCAAAATGGAAAAAAAATGAAAAGTTTAGATACTAAAAATATAATTATCTCTAATGTTTAGCTCTTAGTTTAGTTTTTTTTTTTTTTTTTTTTTCGTTTTAGTCTTAGCTTTAGTTTTTTTTTTTTTTTTTTTGACAATCATAACCATTATTTTTTTTTCTCTAAAATTTTAGCTAACTAATTTTCATTGTAAGTTAAACAATTATTTTTATCCTCCTCAAAATAACAAAAAACAAACTATTTTTTGTCTTTTTTAATTGATACTTTTCTAATTTAAACCGCTAAATTATTTTTATCCTCTCAAAATAAAAAACAACTATTTTTGTCTTTTTTATTGAATACTTCTAATTTAAACCGCTAAATAAACGGCTAACTGCAAAACAGCTAATAGTTCGAACAGTTATTACAACAATTAATATTGTCGAACAGATTTTAAAAGAGCTGATAATTACTGTGTAGCTACGGAAATAGCCAATTTTATCCAAAGAGTGCCTTAGCCAATTTTATCCAAATAGCCAATTTTTATTTATTTATTTATTTATTTATTTATTTTGCAGTACAGAATGTTAATAAATTCCTGGTGAATAATTAATAACCATTAGATTTTATTGTTTAAAACTTAGCTATTGGATGTTAGAATGCAAGAGAAGCCAACTACCTATTGTATAAGTAAAAAAAATTCCTTTTTAGTTTTACAACAAAATGATTGCTTAATTACTCTTAAATATTTTTTAAATTCATTAGAGGCTTTTATAAAATGAAATAATACTATGGACTGCATAACTTAGACCTCCTACTTTTCACATAAGTGAGAAGACCAACTAGAACATCACCTGATTAGCCAATCACTACACCGTCTGTTCCAAAAATATAGTTCATCTTTTCTTTTCGGTTTGTTCCAAAATATAACCCACTTTCCTATTTTGTATTATAGTTAATTCTTACATCATCTATTATACCTTTATTAAATTTTATCTTAGTTTCAATAACCCTTATTAATTCTTACTTATTATTCTAATATAATAATTACTCATGTCTTATTTAAGACGGATATAATAGGAAAGTTATATAAATAAAATTATACTTTAGCAGTAATAATTACTACTTTTTTAATTTATATGAAAATAAAAAGTAGACTATCTTTTAGGTACAGTGAGAGTATATAATTGCTTATGTGTTATTTAAGATCGGTATAATAGGAAAATTATATGAATAAAATTGTTTTTTAACCATAACAATTACTATTTTCTTAATCTGTGTGAAAATAGAAAATGGACTGTTTTTTGGAACGAAGGGAGTATTAATATTAAATTATTTAAGCAAAATCATTTTCATCAACTTGATTTTTTAAAGCCTACTTTTATTTGTATAAAAAAAAATTCGAATCACATGTTATATTATATTAATATCTCTGTTATATAATATTTGTCACATTTAGAATTTCACGCTATTTAAAAAAATCATTAAATGTGTCTAAGTTATAATAAATTATTGAGTAAATTGACTATATTACCTTTAATTTAATACTATTTTTTTAAGAAAATCATTAAATTGAAGTAATAATTACTACCTCTATCTCAAAAAAATAGTCCACTTTCTATTTTTACACTAATTAAGGAATAGTAGTTATTATGGTTAAATAACAATTTTATTCATCTAACTTTTCTATTATGCCCATCTTAAATAACACATGAGCAATTATTATATTGAAATAATAAGTAAGAATTAATGGGAGTTTATTGAAAATAGTAAAATTTAATAAGAGTATAGTAGATAATTTAAGGATTAACTATAATGTAAAAAAGGAAAATAGACTATATTTTGGGACAACCAAAAAGGAAAGGTGGACTATCTTTTTGGGACTGAGGAGTATTTGTTATATATAAAAGTAAACATGGAAAAAATGGATTTATTACTTCTTGAAACCACAAATATGATAAATATTTTGAAATAAACTATTTTCTCAAATGCAACAAGTATTATGGAACGTAAATAATATATAATTTTTTATAAATGTATATTATTATTAATGGTTAATTTTTGTTATTTCACATACTTATATTAATACATCATTATTAGCTATTAACTTTTGTAAAAGTAATTGTATCACTTTATTAAATTTAATATTTTAATTTACACTTCCTTCACTTTATCTCATTTTAATTATCTTTTCTAAATTCTTCTTTACTTTAATATTATAATATATATTTAAGAACTAATGGACGTGGTAAATTCTTTTCTTCGTATAAGAATGCGGTTAAAAATATTAAAATAAATAAAAAGTATTTTCACTAATTTAAAAAAATATTTATCCAAATCAAATTGAAAAAAAAAATGTCTAATTAAAAATAATGATATGTATTTTTGAAGTAATTTAAAAAGACATTTTTTCTACAAAAACAAAAAAAAAATTGCAAAGAATAAAAAAACACTTATACAACAAGTAATTTATAATTTCTGCGGTAAATTATAAAATATTATGTTCATATTTAAACATTTTATAAAAAGGATTACAGTTGTGTAGTTAACACATCAATATATATATATATATAACAACAAGTTAATTTTATAAATTTCTGCGGTTTAAATTAAAAATATTATGTTTCATATTAACATTTTATAAAAAGGATTACAGTTGTGGCTAGTTAACACCATCAATACTATATATATATATATATATATATATATAAATCAAGCATTTTTTTCTTCTAGAAAATTGACATGATGTCGGCATATCCACTTAGCCATTTTTATTTCTGACATAGTGGCCTTCACTCTTTTCTCTAATTAGGCTTCCACCTTGACCATGGTTTGATTTCGATTTATTTAATGTATTAATGTATTGGCCTGGGTTTTGATTTGGTTGTTAAATCTTATTTTGAATTAGTATTTTTGGTTTGGCTTTGATCTTGACATTATTTATGTTATTAATTGCATTGTTTGGACTTTACTCTTGAGTTAGTGTTTTTGATCTTGGTTTGCATTCTGATTATTTACTTTGTATTAATGTATTGATTTGGTTTTCGAATTTATTTTGAATTAGTTTTTGATCTTGGTTTGATTTGATTTGGTCTATTTAAACTGTATTACCATGACTTTAAAATAATTATTCATTAATATAATTTTAAAAAATGATAAAGTTAATTTTTAAAAAATGATAAAGTTTAATAACAATGAATTATTCAATTAATGTATTGATATATTACTTTGTAATAAATCTTTACTCTCAAATTTGTAAAGTAACAAATGTTTCCTATCTAAACGTTCCATTTATTATTTTTTAAAATAGTGTAGTAATGCACTTTTTTTTTTAAAAAAAAAATTTTAAACTATTACCTTCAAGAAACACTTTAGCTTTTTTAAAAATACTATATATAAGTTGTATCGCTATATTCTTGGCAAAAATATATTGGTCACTGCTTTTAAATATATTATTTTTTTTTTTTTAAGTTTAGAATTTTCTACATTTCAACTATTTCTGCTACTGTGGTTAGTAATTCTTACTCAAAATTTTTTTCTCCTTTTTTAAAGATTATTTAACATATTTTTATAGTCGTAATTAAACTATCTTAAATCAGGCAGAATTTTCTTGATATTGTCACGTAGAATTCCAAATTAATGAAATGTGTATGACCTGATTTAGTTGTTTATTTTTATATTTATTTGAAAATAAATAAATTTATGATTGAATTAAACCGTCTTAAATATAATCGATTAATATAACGTTAGAAAATTAATAGTGTGTTAAGTAACAATTTATATAACTTTTAATGATATAAATAAATTACATAATTTATAAATTACAATTATATAACTTTTAATGATATGAATAAATTACATAATTTATAAATTTTAACGATATGGGCAGTTATTATTTTATATTAAAAAATTAAAATTTTTTATATTAAATTAAATTATGTTAAATATAATTAATTTAGTATTAACAAGATGATAAGTTCAAGTTTTATACAACTTTTAATTATTTAAAATAAATTATTTATTCATGGATTTTATTGAAATGACGAGTTAATTATTTTTTACATTAATTTTAAAATAAATCAAATTAATGAATTTTACCACCTTTCATTTTATTTTTTTATTTATCTCTATGAATTTCAATATTTTTTAATTCATATTTCTGAACACATGTCTATCTACTAATTTTTACTTTAATAATAAAAAATCACGCTATTTTTTTTACTATTGATATATCTTTATAATATTTTTTAATAGCATATTTTTACTATTAATATGTCTTTATAATATTCTTTAGTAACATAATAAAAGAAAATTTACTCAAAAATCTATACATAATATATATTTTTTCTCAATTTTACTTTATTTTACTTTTATTTAACCGTGCATAGCGCGGTTATATTGCTAGTATTTCTAGTAAAGTTAGATGAATTTTAAATAATTTATATTTTCATTAACTGTAGAGAAACCAAGTAGGCATTGGAGAAAGGCTGGACATTTCTTTCCTAATAAAAACTTAAAAACTACGCTAAAAAAAGGAAAAGACGAAATTGGATTCACTAAACTGAGCTTTCCGTTTCCTCTACAATTTTATCTTCATTATCCTTTTTAATTTTCTGTTGCTTAAGAAAATTGAGTACTTCTCCAAGAGCAACATCAGGATCATCACTCTTCAATAATTCCTCAGCCAAAGAAGCAGGAGTGGCCTCTGCACTTTGTATCAACAGCCAAAGAAGCAGGAGTTGCCTCTGCCACTTTGTATCAAACCATCAATATTCTTCAAGCAGCTTTATGCTCTTTAATTCCAAGGTTAAATTATTACAACCAAAACTTCTAAATCCTTCACTCGGTACCAATATGACATTGTGAATGCACCAAAACTCTAAATCCTTCACTGGTACAATATGACATGTGAATGTGCATATCCATTCTGCCAGGACGAAGCAATGCTGGGTCCAAAAATTCCTTGTGATTTGTCGTAAACACTACTATCCTTTCTTCTCCACAGCTTGACCACAATCCATCAATGCAATTTAGCAGACCAGAGAGCGAAAATAGCTGCTTGATCCAAATTACGAGAACCAAAAACTAGTTTTAACCAATCCCACCTCTAAAATAAAAATATCAACAAAACAGAGCAAAACAGAGTAGACTTATCCCATTTCTAAAATAAAAGTATCAACAAAACAGAGCATAAGAGAGTAGACCAAAACAGAACAGATACTAACCTGGACATTATCAGAATCATCAGATTCTGATCTTGATCGATTATTCGCAGTAGAATTGCAATCTATGTCCTCAATCACAGTTATGGACTTTCTATTAATATCCAGCATAGCTTTTCTCAAATCAGCATCAGAAATAATATTGGCCAGCTCCAAATCAAACACATCAAACTTGAGGTAATTAGCCATAGCCATAGCCTGCAATTTAAGGCTTGATTTTCCAGTGCCAGGAGGGACCATTAAGTAAAGTATCCTCTTTTCAAGCCTTAGTAAGTATCCTCTTTTCCAAGCCTTTCCAATTCTCTTATAGTAGTCTTTCCTTGCCAAGAACCTATCTATATCATCTATAATAGACTTCTTCAGATTGTGATCCATCGCTAGCGCATCAAATGTCGATGGATGTCGAAAATCAATGGAATCCCAACAACCGCGAGACCTTGTATAAAGCTTTAAAACCTTTTCGCCTTTTGTCATGGCCTTGGAAGTATCCACAATGTGGTTTAAGTAATCATTAAAGATTTTTTCTCTATATTGATCTTCAAATGTTAGTTCAAAATAACCTTTGTTATAGAATTTATCATTCTTGGATCGATCGTCGTTTTCTTGCTTTGCAAATTGCCATGTAATTTCTATCCCTTCATAGAACCTTCTACTAAGGCAGCTGTGACATTCTTTTGCCCTCTAAACTTACCAATTCTGATAATTTTGTTTTTAGGGCCGATCTTGGAGGACAAGTAGAATCTTGCTGCGTCTATGAGTTTGTTGCGATCAAGACCGTCCCACGAATCATCAATTATGAAGGTATATAAGAAGGAGATGATTTTCTACGAGAGAAGAAGATCAAGAATTTTGAGACAAGAAAAGTCTCGAGCTTTTTGGGTACTAATTCGTGGTAAACATTACGCAAGAGCATTAAGGAAGTGGAAAGAAAATAAGCGTACAAGGACATATAAGAGGAGGATGTTGAAGGGTAAAATCTCGTATTCTCTACAAAAGAATAAGCCATGGTTGGGTGTTTTTGGACAAGATCTAGCAGTAAGAACTATTTCGAGTGTTTTTAGACAAAATGAAGAAATTTTTCGGACAAGATGAAGAAGCAAGAACTGTTTGTTAGTGTCTTAAGACAAGATCATTATCAAGAAGCAATATTGATGAGAAGGGAATGTGGGAGTGGTACTCTGCTTATAAATAAGTGAAACTGGGAAAGCAAGCACTGGAAATTGAAGAGAAGGTTCCTATTAGTGCTTGGTGGGTGTGGCGCGTGCGAATGGAGTTCCTGCTTTTTTTTATTACTTCGGAGTATTCTTCAACTGGGCTGTTGCTGCAAATTGGAAACTGATAAATCTAAAACCATAAATTAAAAAGATTATTTTTTTTAAAGGAAAATAGATTAATTTAATTTAGTTTAAAATATATGACAAATTAAGTTTATGATTTTAAATTTAAAACAGTCCATATTACCCAAAAAAGGGTCCAAATCAAACCAAACAAAAAATATAAGCAAATACATAAATTCACCTCTAAATTTTATACCCTCAACTTTTACTTTCACCAATTAAATACTTTAATTTATAAAATTACATTTATGAAATACTTTAATTTTCAAATTCATTTTATTAAACACTTCAATTTGTAAAATTAAATCAATTAAACACTCATTAAAAAAAAGTTAAAATTTATGAAAATTATTTTTCCAAAAATCATGTTAACTACATGTTAAGTTGATATTTTGCATATAAAAGTCAAAAATTGTAAAAATTATTAATATTAGTATCAAAATATGTATAATATTATCAAAATTTACAAAATTATATGCACAATAGGTCATCTACAAAGTTCATAGTGTCACAAAAATAAAATTGCAAAGTACAAAAGTGAATTTATATACACGGCAAAAAAAAAAATATATAGTATGTTTTTTACGTATATTGAGATTAGTAAACTTATTTCACATTAAGTAATTGCACACTCAAAATTTGTATATGTGTTTTATACTAATAAAAAGTTAATAATTATTTTTTTATGTGTTTTATACTAATAAAAAGTTAATAATTATTTTTTTATTCATAAAAAATTTGTAAATGCATAACTATTTTAATTATACTTTTTTTTATAAAATAAGCCAAACTATAATGCATTCATAGATTTAAATATTTTTATTCAGTCATTTAAAAGTATATATATATATATAATAGATGAAAATGATACGTGGAGAGACTTCAAACTGAATATTTCTCCCTTCTTACTACAAGACTTGGAAAGAACAACAACCTAGAACATATCAAGTTCTAATTATGTGTCTATGGCTTCTCACATTTCTATTTCTCATTTCTCACATTTTAAATATTTTTATCTACCACCATTACTGATGTAATTATGTAAATGTCTGGCTCTGAAACTAATTAAGAAGAATAGAAAACATAATCCATTCTTCGAAATTTCTGAAGAATTGGTGGGCAAGTTTTGAATAGAAAAGAATTAACACTTAGGGAGGTAAAGTTTATCGGTATGGTGATGTCATGCATGACGATATGAGGATGACGTCTGATAATAGCACTGAACTGAATCAGATGAGTTCACGTGTTGGCCGACTCTCAAGACAAGGGATTTGTATTTTGTCCTGCAACTTGTTCTCTTAAACAATAAATTATCATTTATTATATATTCCTAAGTAAAAAGACTTAAAAGACATCTTGATTTTTTTTTTTAGATAAAAAAGTATTCTGTTTTGTCGTTTTAGCTTTTGAATTTTCCATTCATTTCATATTCTTAAAAATTTTTTTATTATTAAGAACCTTTTAAACTATGTTTGGAAAGGAAAATAAAGTAATGAAATTTTGAAAAAATAGCTTAATTAAGAAAATAATTTCAATAATAAAAGTACCTTACAATCTAATAGAGAAATAAAAAAAAAAAATTTAAGAATCCAAAATGATAGTTGAAAAAAAAGAGAAAAAACTAAAATTAACAAACACTAAAAACACAATTTGCTAAGTTTAAATTATCAGTTCAAAGTTGCAATCTCTAATGTCATGTTTGGGAAAAAGAGAAAGAAAATAAAGAAGGAAGAAAAATATAAGAGAGAAAAATATTAACAGATTGCATTATTTATTTTCCTTCCTTATTTTCTATTTTATGTTTGCATATAAAGAAAAATCTAAGGGAGGATTTTATTTTCTTTCGTTTAAAAGCCTAAAATTATGGAGGAAAGAAAATGATATTATGATAAATTTTACATTTTTACCAAAATTATGGAGGAAAGAAAATGATATTATGATAAATTTTACATTTTTACCCTTTGTAAACATTATTTGAGCATCTTGCAATTAAATTGTAATTTATTACTTACTTGGTTAATTATAATGAATTAATGATTTTTCAATAAGTAAGTAAAAAGATAGAAAAATATAAAATTTATAAAAGATTAATATTTGTTAGCAATACTTAGTTGTTCTATAAATAAAATTTTAATATAATTGAACAAAATATAATTTTGAATAAGTGTTTGCATGTTGAAATTAGGCATGGTCAGTTCATTAAACCGTCGGTTCAAAATTTTTAAAATATTGAACTTGAACCAGCCCTTGAACCACTAGTTTCGGAGCGGTTCCGATCACAATTTTCTGGCGATATATGTTTTTTTTTTTTTTTTTTTGTTTTTTTTTTTTTTTTTTTTTAAATCGGTTCTAACGTTACATCTTTCTTTTGAAAAAATCTTAATAAATGAAGTTTTTAAGAATACTTGGTAAATTTTTATTTTAAAATAAATTTAGAATGCTCAATACTATTAAGAATCAAAAATTAATTAATTTTTACAAAAATAAATCAAATAAATTAATCACTTTATTTTATTTAAATGTTATTAATTTTAAAAAATTAAAATTATTTAAGAAAATTTTGAAAAAATGCTTCAAAAGAATGTAATTTAAACTTAGTAACAATTTTTAAGGGTAAAAAAAGTTTAAAAACAAATGTAAGTTTAGAACTAACTATTTCTCTCTGTTTTTTTAACCATTTTAACTTTTTTAGATTTTTTAACTTTTAAAAATAAATTGTATTTTTTTTAAAAAATCTTAAGGTAAATTATAATCTGCTGTACAAATTTATTATTGAGACGTTTACATATGTAAATAAAATATACTAAAGTCGATTATCATTTTTGAAAAATATAAATAAAGAAAAAAATGTTTTGGTTCGAGACTGTGACCAGAAATCGGCCGTTAACCCGTCGTTCCAGGCAGTTGGTAATTCAGTTTTATTTACATTTACATGATTTAATCGGCCGCTTGGAACCCATCCGTTATTCCGGGTTCAAACAACTTTTGAAAATGACGGTTCCAATCTGTATTTCAATTTAAATTCTACAATAAGTTTTTCGAATTGCCTGGTTTCAAATGAACTTCTCGTGCTATGGCTATGTGAAAATATTTAGTGCTTAGAATCAGAATATCATTCCAAAAAATATGGCGTCATACAAAGCAAAGATAAGGAGGGTGTTTCAGTAATTTTTAACAAATAAAACCAGCAGCATTTTCACTTCAAAATGTCTCTAGAATTAATAGGATTTTTATGTAAAATGGAGAGATTAAAAAAAAACGAAAATGTTAAAAATGTTTGTTTATATTTAAGTTTAAATTCTGACTCCTTTCTTTGTAAGCAAAAAAATCCCCATGATTGAGATATAAAAGAATCGCTCCAACCAAATATTGCAAATCAAGAGAGGGAAAGCCTTCTGAGTTTTATTTTTTTTAGTGGGCGTTTGGGAGGCAGCCATAACATACGCTCGATAGGTTTTAGGGTCAGATTCAAGCTTTTTTTGGAACGCCTACTGGTTTGTTCCTCTTTGTAATCAAATGACCAAAATAAATAACCAACAGAGATTCCCTAGCACATCGGTCCACAAATGCCTAATTCCATGGGCAGAATCGTCAAAACTGTGAAAAGGGGCGGGTTACAATTTGTAAGGGAGACGCCGGACCCATGTAATATGATCTTCTTCCTTTGTTCAATCTTTAACTAACTAGCAAATCTACGCGTAATAGCACCTAAAAAGACTGCAACAGAAAAAACCAGTCCACCTAAACTAAGCCATATAACATGTACTTCATCTATTTGCGTTAAGCTTTTTTATTTTGTTTTATTAGCATCTAAATTAACCTAAACCCTAAAAGTTTCCTTTCCCTCTCTATTGGCATTTTCAAGTTGTTTTAACTTATTTGGAATTGGCAGGACCGGTGTTCTATTGGGCATAACAAAGTGCACAGGGCCAGGAAGCCTTAGATTTGCAAGGGAAGAGTGTCATGGTCCAAGGAGAACTTAACTGATGAGGAAGTCTAATGCCTTTTATTTTCTCTTAGCTTCAATTGATGGATTCTGAATGGATCAAAATATAAAACTCCTATATGTCCTGTTTATGTTTATTAGTTACATCCAATCTCTTATCTGTAAAAAAGTAAGAAACTAAAAACATCTAA